ACCCCGGTTCAGGTACTGGGTCAAGACCCGGCGATCCCGCCTCCCCAAGCTGGGCCACACTCGAGCATGCTCAGAGACGTTTTTTGCGTGGCAGTCGTCCCTTGGCTTCAGCAAGACGTCGAGCAGCGCAGACAGGCGGCAGAAAAGCTGGCACACGCCAGGCGAGGGAGCCATGGCCGCGACAAAACGTGGGAGGCGATGTAATACACTGATCCTCGACCGAGCCCAGCTCAGTCAGACCAAACGCCAAGCTGATTTTGAGCAGTGAAGCCCGCCCCGAAACCCTAAACCCCGTAAACCCTAAACCCCGCAAACCCTCATCCCCTAAACCCCTCAACCCTAACCCTAAACCCTAAACCCGAAACCCCTGAACCCCTGAACCCCTGAACCCCTGAACCCTAAATCCGAAGACAGCAAAGCCCAAATCTTGACCAGCTCTACACTCTGAACCCTAAAACCGCAGTCAGAACCCCTGAACACTACCCATAGGCCCCATAGTAGTTCCTTTTTGGGGTTCATATTTAGAATCTTATGGGGTAATCCCAAAAAGGAACTACTATGTGGCCTATGGGTAGACGCGCCTATACTAACTATGTGGGCTCCTCGCTGAAAGACTTGAGACAGGTCAGCGACCAGTCCCTGGTTGATGCGCTTGACCTTTGGCTTCACTTCTAGAGCCCCGAAACACACTACCCTGGGTTTAGGGTTTAGGGTTTACGTGAATCTTCTTTTTTGTTTAACACGAGAGGTTAGTAACGAGCATCCTGTTCCCAAATTGTGGGACAGCGAGTTTGACCCCTGCAATTCACACAGAGAGTACAAGTCTGCCTGGTGCGAAGAGCTCGATCTGCCGTAGGAAAAACCCAAGCCCCAAAAGCCATAACCCCTAAACCCTCAACCCTAAAGCCTGAACTCCAAAACCTAAACCCTGAACCCTAAACCGAATCTTAGTGCAACGGGACGAGGGGCCCACTTGAAAGCTTGTCGGGTCCGGGAACTTAGTGGGTTTGGGGTGCAGGGTTTAAGGGTTAAGGGTTTAGGGCTTAGCTGGCTTACGGTTTGCGGTTTTGGGAAGGTTCGGCGCGTTCGAGGCTGAAGGTAACCATGCTTGTAGTGTATTCTGGAAGAGACCATGGTCATATCCATGCTGATTCTATTGAGTTCTCGTCATTGCCCCAAGCCCTCAGCCCTAACAGTAAAACCCTAAACCCTGCGATTCATGCTCTCACACATGCTCAAGCCTTGGGTTGTAGAGTGCGTGTGGACTCGATGGCTAGTAGACATGTAGGGCTTGAATAATTGGAGGGATGAAGGTAGGTAGGATTAAGGATCCCTCGTATAAGGACTCTCATCATGATCCTGGCATTGCCCCAGGATGGCCTCATCCTACCCTGGGAGCCTTTTTGAATGAGTCACTGGCGTAGGCGGAAATAACTACTAGGAGATGGAAGAGATCTTGCATTGAAGAATTTGGGTAGCTCTCAAAAGTAGGGTCCCTTTGGGGGTCCTTCTTAAACCGGTGCCGCGCTATCTTTGGGACTTAAAAGAGACCCTAGCTTAGAGAAGTTCTCCTGTGTTCAATGCCTCGAAACCTCCTTCGATCGGCATCGTAGCTTGGGGGGGCGGACTGGCCGATGGCAGGGTTTAGGGTTTAGGTCCAGGTAGGGTCAACGAGGCTTGGCTGACTTCTGAACGCCACCAAAACGTTAAACTTTTAATCTCCTTATTATGGTTCATATAGAAACCCAAAAAGTTAAAGTCCTAAGAGCCAAGAAGAACACCAAGGAAGTAGGAATTGATCCTGAACCCTAAACCCTAAACCCAAAGCCCTGAGCCCTCAACCCCAAACCTGGCAACTCCTGAGCAAACTGCTCATGTCAGATCCGATTAGTACATGGGCAGTTCTCTAAATGAGGGTGTTGGGTTTAGGGTTCTGGGTTTAGGGTTTTGGATAAGTTACAGTCCCGTTTTGGGTCCAGAAAATAGTACGGCACCCGAAAAAAAAGGACCCTCAAAGGGACCCTGATTTAGAGAACTACTAACATCATAGCACTACGGAGAACGTTGCTTTGCTGTGGCCCATTTGTTTTTCCCGACATCCCGCCCTGAGCAGCACAAAGTGGCAGCTTTGAGCGGAGCCGAGGTCGGAAGAGCTGTGCCCAGAGCCTCCACACTCCCATAATTAAGGAATAGACTGCAATGTACCTTAAATCATAACAAAGATCCACTTAGAGATTAACCCAAGTTGTTGAGGAATATACCTTACATCCTTACGTCATAACAAGGATCCCCTAAACCCTAAACCCTATACAACTGAAGGTACATTCCGAAACCAAGGGGCTTTCGAGTCTCTGGGAGCCAACACAAACCCGAAATCCTGAACCCAAAGCCAAAATCTACGGGCCGTAAAAAGTAGAATAGGGTTTTGGGGGGTTCCTGTAAAGGGTCCCTTAAAAGGGTTCCCTAAAAGGGTTCTATAAGGGCTACTACAAGGGTTTAGGGTTTTGGGGGCCTTAAAAGTTAGAATAGGGTTGTGGGCCCCATTATACTATAATCATAATAAGGAACCCCCAAAATAGTATTGGTGTTTATTTAGGCTCCTATATTAAACCCTAAAGGCCCTAAATCGTGCTTGTAGTATCCAGAAGCTGTCCAGGCAGGTCACCTTCACAGACGCCCATGACTGAAGCCTCAAATCTTGAACCCTAGACCTAAACCCCAAAATCCAAGATCCTAAACAGCCCCGAAATCGCCCTAAACCCTAAACGATCAAACCTAAGCCCTGCAGCAACCACTCAGCCAAGAGGCGTGGACGAGGCCGTCGCTCTCGGCACCAACTGACACGAAGATGCCAAAAGGCGCGATGCCCCTGACCTGCTTCTGTTTTTCAATATGGGAGTTTCAGAAGATTAGGGTACCTTATTTTGGGGTCCTTATAATAGGGATCCTAGTATTTAGGGTACTATATTAGGGTCCCCTATTTTCGGAAACCCCCATATAGTAAACCACCAAAAGTTGGAAACCGGATTAGGGACAATTAGTGCTGGGATTCCCTATACATTACTCTTAGGGATTGAAGCTCTTGGGTTTCCAACTTTGGGGACCCAGAAACCATCCCTCCGAGCATAACAAGACCAAAACAAAGGGAGGCCATGACCCTTGCAAGGGAAGTCTTATAGGACTCGGGGAAAGACTCCAGGTGAGGAGTTCAGAAGTGAGCACGGCTGAGGGTTTAGGGCTTTTTGGGGTTTAGGGTTCAGGGTGTTTGGGTGGATGGTTTAGGATTGTTGCTTCTGCTTGTTGCGTCAATGATTCCGTAGCCATGAGGAAGTCAGACTTCGTACAGCCGGCGTTGTGGCCGTCCGAGCCAGAGGACTTCTCGAGGTGCATGGCACCAAGAGCGGCCAGAATGCGTGGATCGCGAGGGGATCTGTGAGATGGACCACCTCAACGACCTGGTTGGGCCAATGCTCCGTCGCAGACAGGTGTCTCCTGTCGCCACGGAACGGGTCTCGTTTCTCTTCGCGTGAACTCTTCTGCCCTCCGAGGTGTGATCGGGCACGATGCCGTCGAAAGAAATCACCAGCTGATCGCAGACAGCTTTCATAGGGTTGAAGGTTTAAAGGGGCTTTAAATATGGTTTCTTTAAGGGTTCGTATCAAGGGTCCTGAACACTCCTCCTTGGGCTTCTTGCCTCCTCTTCGCGCAGGTTGGGGCTTCTCAGCCGTCCCTGCCTTCACAATGAATACCTCGCCCGTCGCCCTTATGGCTACAACAGCCTGAGCTGTCAATGCCTGTTAAAGGGGTGGATGTGGACTTAGGAGTTACTTGGGGGGGGCATTGCTTATAAGTACCTTAAACGGGGATATAAGTAGTTATTAGTATAGTTACCCTAGTAAGAACAGAACAACCCTAGCTTCCAAGTTCCATGACCCTCTAAATAGGAGTTCTGGCTTTACATCGCGCGATAAGGGTTTCGGGCTTCGGGTATCGGGTTTAGGGTTTCTTCCAGGAAGGCTTGGAAGCCAGGCGTGAGGGTTTAGGGTTTCGGGTTTAGCGTTTAGGGTTTTTAGGGTTTAGAGTTTAGGGTATTCTACACACAGTGCTTGTATGTTTTTGGGTCCAGGCCTAGGGTTGAGGGTGTAGGCTCTACGAGGGCGCTAGCTTCCCTGAGGGATTCAGTGACTCTCTGTCGGGCTGTAAACTGAGGTTGCGATTCCGGGATATTCCTCAACTATGGAGTTTGGGAGTCTTTGGGTAAAATCCGAAAACAAACTTAATGCAGCCTTACTACTGTGAGAACTAGAGTCCACACTGAGGGCCCGGGTTTGTTTGATCTGAAGAGTTACCTCATGGAGTTGGTGTAAGAAAGGGAACCTTCAACCGTCAGCCCTTGGTTACACAAAAAAAGGCTCAATATCCTCAACTCTAAACCCATAACGACGTAAGGATTTTGATCATCCTAGAGGATGCCCATGCATCAGAGATCTACAATACACTGCCCTGAAATTCCAATTTACCTAAACCCCTCCAAAGACTCTTTTGAAATCTTTCTTAAAACCACATAAAGCCACTAATAGAAAATTTAGGATCAAACACATGCAGCACAAAACAACTCAAAACATACATATATATATATATATGTATATATATATATATATATATGTATGTATATATATATATGTCCGTCTGTCTGTCTGTCTGCCTGCCTGCCTGCCTGCCTGCCTGCATGCATGTATGTATGTTTGTTTGTTTGTATGCATGCATGCATGCATGCATGCATGCATGCATGCATGCATGGATGGATGGATGTATGTATGTATTTATGTATTTATGTATGTATTTATGTATTTATGTATGTATGTATGTATGTATGTATGTATGTATGTATGTATGTATGTATATACGTGTGCATATATATATATATATGCCTACACGTATGCCTAGATATATGCCTGTGTATATATATATATATACAACTTTCGATGATTCTCTATGTATTTACTAGAGAGCAAACCATCGGGATCGAATATCGAATGTCGACCTCGCCGCCGAGTTCATCGCCCGGCGTGAGCTTCTCTAGCCTCAAAGAGCTCTCAAACTTGAGGTTCAGGGCTTCAGGGCTGTAGGGCTTAGGGTTTTGGGGAAAGATGGAACATGATTCCCCCGATGTCCTTTCTAAACTACAAAGAACCCCAGCAAGCAAGCATGATTAACTCATGTTCCAACTTTCTTGATTTCACTAGTTGAGCTTTTGGGTTTTAGGGTTTTAGAGTCCAGAGTTTGGAGTTTAAGGGGGTAGGGCTTGGGATTTTAGGCTTTGGGGCTTTGGGGCTGCAGGGTTTAACGATCTTAGGTCTAGGGTTGAGGGCTTCAGGGATTTAGGTTTTAATGGTGTTTGGCTATGGGCTTTGGGCTTTAGGGCTTCAGAGATTAGGGGTTTAGGGTCCAGGGCTGAGGGCTGCAGGGGTTCAGGGTTTAAGGGTGTAGGGCTTGGGATTTCAAGCTTTGGGGCTTTGGGCTTTAGTGCTTCAGGGTTTAAGGGTTTAGGCTCTATAGGGTTTAAGGCTTCAGGGGTTTAGGGATTAAGCGTGTAGGGCTTGGATGTTTGAGGCTTTTGGGCCTTAGGGCTTTCGAGGTTTAGGGGTTTAGGGTTTGGGACCTCAGGGCGTTGGGATTTAGGGCTTAAGCCTTTCGGGCTCTAGGGTAGTTCAGGGGTGAGGAATTCAAGGGCTCCGAGCTTAGGATGAGGGATTGAGGGGATGATGCTCTGGGGAACTCCTTCTTGGTCATCGACCCATTGGCCTCTGCAGCCTCCATCAGCCCATTGGCCTCCATTGGCCCATTGGGCTCACTCTCCGAGCTCTCGGTGATATCCATCAGGTTCGGCTGGGCATGTATCGGCTCCAAGCCCAAGCCATCCGTGTCCAGAGCATCGCCACTGCAGCCGCCCGCGGCTGCGCACAGCTCAAGACCAATCGCCGTGAGAGCTGCTGCAACGAGCGGCCACTCCATTCTCATGATACTGCGATGCTGCGATGCTGTGCGGTTGCTAAAGCCCCTATATGGGTGTGGCTCAGCAGTAGGCCGGAATGAGTGAAGGGGGAGTGTCAAGTTCCCTTCCCACGGTTTCTCGGTTAGGCTTCAGGGTTTAGGGTTGGGGGTTTAAGGCTTAGGCTCCGATATGCATATCCCTATGCATAAGCGCTTTCTTGTGGTGGTCCGAAGCTCCATCCCAGGGCATCCTTCATTGCATTGGTCTCATGCCATTCGGCGACCTTTTCTAAGCCTCTCCTGTACATCAATTCTTGGGAGGAAGCTCTAGGATTTACAAGGTTTAGGGTTTAGCATTTAAGGCTTAGGGCTTAGGGTTTAGGGTTTGGCGTTTAGGAGTTAGGGCTCAGGGTTTGTTTAGGGTTTAGGGCTTAGGGTTTAGGGCGTTTGGGGTGCAGGGTTTTCGGTTTAGGGTTTAGGATTTGGGGAGGATGTGAAGGTTTGATTCGGCCGTAGACGACAGCAACAACAACAACAACAACAACAACAACAACAACAACAACAACAACATCGCACCTAATAATCATCATAAGCACATTATTCAAGAACAAACTACAAATACTCATAACAATAACAATGACAATCATGATAATAAAATCAGCACCTTCTTACTAGACCCTTGCTTCGGCTTGGGGCTCACAGCTGGTGGCAAAGCAGTCGAGACGGGCTGCTCATGGACGCAATCAAACTCTCTAAGGTTGGGTTTAGGGTTTAGGGTTTAGGGTTTAGGGTTTAGGGGGAACCATGGGCCCCTAGCATGGGTCCTCAACCCTGGGATCCTTATACACCTACTTTCTACCCTATATGGGTAGTTCTCTAAAATTAGGGTCCCTTTTGGGGTTCTTTTTGTACTGGTGCCGTACTGTTATGGGGACCTAACAAGTGTTAGGACTGCAAGATTTTGGGTGTACACCTTAAAGATGCCCACGGCTGATGATATAAATCCTGCATTACCCAGCATAATTCGGAATATACCATAGTTCCGGTAGTTTAGGGTCCTTAGGGTAATGCAGGATTTATATCATCATCAACAGTATTACAAGTCACCCTAAACCCCTAAACCCTAAACCCTATTCCCGGAAAGTGTCACATGCTGCCAAGGAGCGAGAGGCCCCTGGCGATGGACTTGCGCTCCTGCTCCCGATGTAGTTCGACCCATTCTTAAACCCTTGGTTTAGGGTTTAGGGTTTAGGGTTTAGGGCCCACGACCCTGCACCCGGACCCCTAGACCCTGCACCCTGAACTCCCAAACTCTAGTCTTACTCAAAGATTAACCCAAAACAACTCCAAGACTGCCGTAGTATAGCGAATACGCACAAAAGACACCGCACATGAATGAACATGGACGGACATGCCTAGGTTGAGGAGTTTCGCGTTCAGAGTGTAGGGTTGAAGCAACTAGCAAGCAAAAGGCGCGAGCGAGCTAGCTCGCTATCTCGACCTACATACCTACCCACACGCATAGATACATACAGAAACTCATGCAGACATACATGCACATCTTGAATGAATTGCTTCGGGTTGCCACGAGTCCATGCTGGTCAGGGTGAAGGCATGCACAAACAACTGCGGAGACCCCTCGCTGCAGTCTACAGTTTATTGTTGCGCCCTTCCTTCAACCAGACCACTGTACATTCGTACAAACTCGTTCTCATTCTCAGACTTAGTCTAAGCCCTAAACCCTCAACCCTAAACCCTAAACCCTCTACCTGAACGAACACTTAACACTTCAATCACCAAGAAAGCGCTGTCTTCAGAAAAGAAAGGACCCGACTCTGAGCCCTAATTGGTAGGATCCTTGTTCTAAGGACCTCAAGGTTTAGGGTGTACGGTTCAGGGCTTTAGGGTTTAGGGTTTAGGGTTTAGGGTTTAGGGTTTAGGGTTTAGGGTTTAGGGTGTACGGTTCAGGGCTTTAGGGTCTAGGGCCGAAGTTTAAGGTTTAGGGTTTAGGGTTTAGGGTTCAGGGCTGAGGGTTTAGATAAGGTGCCCCTTCCGCCCCTTCCGTTGAAGAAAACATGGGAATGAAACCCTCCGAAATCCGAAAGCATTATAACCCCAAACACATTCCTCAACCCTGAACCTCAAACCCCAAACCGTCGCCCCATATGAGTATACAAGAATTCTACCCCAAAACCTCGCCCTAAACATCAAACACGTATACAAACATTACAAAACAGTTCTAAAGCACCATCAAGCCCCGACCATCGAGAGCCCGTCAAAGCCTAACCCCCAAACCCTAAACCCTAAACCCTGAACCCCTAAACCCTGAACCCCTGAACCCCTAACCCCTGAACCCCTAAACCCTCAACCCTAAACTGGCTGTTCCAGCTGGAGCAGGAGCGGACCCAGTT